TTCGACTCCCCTCGATTCTTGTGCCCGCCTAATATCGACCATTGATCCGACATTAGATCCATGATGAAACACATGGGCCTAGAAATCCAGATCTCCTAAAGATACTAGGGTTCCAATTATGTAAACCCTAGGAAGATTATGATTCAACTTCTATAAATAGGGAAGTAAGCCAAACTCTAGAGATATGATCATAACACCTTACATTTTAAACTCAACTACTCCGTTCTAACTTAAGCATCAGAGCCCGTGTGGCAAGACTGGTCTTAGTGCTATTCTGTTTTGCCGGTCTCGTCGATCCCTTTATTCTAGAAGATTGATGTGAGTTTGACGAGATCTCAAAAGGCCAAATTTCTGCATCAACATTTCTGATGTAAAAATAAAATTCACAAACAAGGTAGACTTTAAACCAAAATTTAAAGCTTTCACAAAAAGAGTGGAAAATATCACAAAAATAGTAAAAAATTTAAAGAAATTCAAAACTAAAACTTCTGGAAAAATATTCTTTGCAAGAACACCTTCATTTAAAATCAAAATTGAAAACCTTGATAAAATTAGGCAAATAAAGAATCGAAAGATTTTCGGGGCAAAAACTTTCAAATATTCCCATGAATTCAAAAAGAAGAAACCCAACAAAAATCAAGACCCAAAACTTTCCTTAGAAATCTTGCACTAAAGAAAAAGAGAGAAAAACAAGCCTTTCGAGAGAAAAATATAATCAAAAGACTTCTTTTTCTATCGACCTAAACTTAGTTCAACTAATTAAGACATTTATTTAGACCAAAAGTCGTGATCTCGAATCCCCACCTTCATACGTAAAAAAAAGGAAAAAAAAGTAAAAAAACTTAATAAAACTCTTAATGGCCAATCTAAAAATACAAAGGCCGTTTATCTTATTTTTCTTTTTAGATAAAAAAGCTAACAAATTATCTTCTAAATTATCATTAGAAAATAACTTTCAAAACAAACAAGTTTGTCTTTAAGAAAAATAAAATAAATCAAAACGGATAATATATATATGATTAAAATACTAGTTTGGTCTATGTACTTTTAGCTCTGATTTATTTCGGTCCTTATACTTTCAAAATGTTCATTTTGGTCCCTGTACTTTCTACTTTGGTTCATCTTGGTCTCTCTATTTTGAAAATGTTCATTTTTGTCTCTGTACTTTTAAATAGTGGCAATTTTGATCATTTCATTTTACTTTAAATCTCACTTTTTCTATCACAATTTCAACACCACATTATAGTCAATATATTTCTTACCATGTAAACATTACTTTATGCTAAATAGTTTCCGTTATATGTAAAATTTGTGTTAAAATCTTGTGAAGAGGGACTAAAATTATCACTTTTTAAAAGTACATGGACCAAAATGAATATTTTCAAAGTATAGGGACTAAAATAAACCAAAGTTAAGTATAGTGACCAAAATGAATATTTTCAAAGTACATGGACTAAAATGAACCAAGACTAAGTGTAAAATAATATTTTAACCTCTATATATATATATATATAATTTTTTTTTCGATTATTACAGTAGATTACTTGCATTTTAAATATTAGGAACGAGGTTGATGGGAAATTTAGTTAATGGGTTTAAGAAGTTTGGATTTGTGTATGGACATTGTATATTGATTTGAGATGGAGAAGTATTATATGCATATTAAATCTTCTAAATTTTGCTCTTCCATGTTTCATTTGTTAAAAGACACGAAATTATGTTTTCGATAGAGCAAGGTTAATCGATACTTCATTTGTTCTTCGTCTCATTTAACCATAGTCTCCCGAGTCGTTCATGGCTTGCATTCCTTATTATGCCTTTCATTGCATTTGATCCTGTTATAGGAAGAAAATAGAGATCAGACTAAGCAACCGAAAAGAGGAAAGAGAGTCGAAGAAGGAGCAGACCCGAAAAGAGGTAAGTGAGTCGGGGCCCAGCAACCTGGGCCAGCCGTAGCTGACCAGACCTTGGTGCGGAGCAGTGCTCGGTGCCGAGAGGTTCTCGACCCGTGGTCGAGAACCTCTCTAATGAACCCCGACCCTCGTGCAAGCCCAGTTCGAATCGACTTGGTCTCGGCTCTGAATAATACAACATGAGACCCATTCCGTTTAAGATCTCCTAAGTGCATAAGGATTCGATTAATGTAAACCCTAAAAGGATTAGGGTTCAACTGATGTAAATACTAAAGAGATTAGGATTCAACTTCTATAAATAGGAAAGTAAGCAAAACCGTAAAGGGATGCTCACAACACTCTACACTTTATACTCAACTACTCCGATTCTGACTTAAGCTTCAGAGCCCCCACACCAGTCTTTAATGCTATTCTGTTTTGCAGGTCCGGTCTTTAATGCTATTTTGTTTTGCAGGTCTTGTCAATCCATTATTATAAAAGATTTGTGCGAATTTGACGGACTCCCAGAAAGCCAAATTTATACATCAACAGATCCTATTCTCTTGCCTTCTTTAAGCCAAGTCGTATAAAGGCGAGCAACCCAACTAGCAATAGCAAACGACCTCAGGTAAAGACTTTTATGCCTTTCTTGGTTGGACAAGGGGCAGCTTCTTTTTGAACCTTACCCGCTTCTTAGGGGACTAGATTTGAACCTGCAGTCTTCAGGTCGGCTTACGCTTCAAAAGTAAGAACGAAAATAGTGAAATAATCGTATGGATGGATGGGTGCGGCTGAGCCTATTTCTTCTTGTTTCACTTGGTTGAGACAGAGTTTTGCCTTCCACTAAATATAAAAAGCCTTACAACTGCCTAACCTGCTGACATCCCGACGAAGAGAGTCATTATTTGTGGTACCATATATCAAGAGAATTATTCTTAAAAAGCTATTCCATTGGCCCGCGGGCGGAGGTTCTTGCTCCAAGACCAAGACGTGTGGCGAGTACCTAGTTCACACCCGGATCATTTTCATTGCATCTCTCTACTCAATCCAAACCCCAAAATCCCAGGAGCTAATCCAAAATCACCTACTCGATTGAGGGGTAGGGAGCGCCCGCCTATCGAAAATGACGAGCGACTCGACTGTTTG